CATCAGCCATTTATTAGAAACATTAATGCTATCCTTTATAGACTGGGACTTAAGGGACCTTGGAAGGGAGGAGGTAACATCTTCATCAACACCCAGTAATCCAACAATACTTTATTTGGCCACAGGAGGTGTACAAATAACATATGGCCAAACTAAAATCCACATTCCTAAAAAATATGTAAAAGTTTTTGCCTAAGTGGAAAAGGAATGTGATAAGAACTACACATTTTGAAATCTCTTATTATTAGCAATGGACGTCTCTAAAAAGTCCACTTTACAACAGTTTCTCCAAATTTAAAGGAACATGGTTGATGTTTTTTCTGAGGGCTTGACAATTCTTTAGTTTATGTAACATGTCAAAAAAGATATATCTCAAAGTCTAAAGTAATATTTAACTATTAAAAACAACAGATCTTGGGGGTGCCTGGCTGGCTTAGTCGGTAGAGCGTATTGACTCATGATTTCAGGGTTTTGAGTTTGAGCCCCATGCTGGGTGTAGAAATTACTTAAACAAACAAACAAATAAACAAAAACCAACCAGACAAAAATGGGAGTGTGTTTATTATACAGTTGTCTTTTGTACTGTCACAGTTGAGAGGTGTGCACACTTTGTAGTTAATCCTTAGAAGTAAAAAAAAAAAAAAAAGTTCACGGAGGTCCATTATTTTGTACCATCTGTGAAGCCTTGCTAATATATTATTCAGATTATATTAAGTTTCTCTGAGCAGTATGAAGACCAAATTTAGATAAGAGAGGAGAAACCTTTATCTTCCCAACTGGGAAAGGGGAAAGAAATCTTTATTTTGCCAAGTACTTAAAAATACTCTTGTATTCTTGAGTGCTGGCATAAGATTTCTTTTAGAAAAGTCCTTCATGTAAGCATACTCAATTCCAGTTGTTCCCATAGCTCACTCCTATGGGATGGGAGGCAGAGATGAAACTGCCACATATATATATATAGAATCTCCATTCTGTTATGTTGAGTAGACAAGGGACACTTGAATAATAGGGTTGGAGCATGGTTAGAGCACAGGGTGGGTGACTCAGATGCCTGTGGGGTCCTGGCAGGTATGGACAAAGGGTAAGAAAAGGTAAGGTCAAGTGTAAGAAGCTGACCAGAGGAGTATTAGGGGACCTACTGAAGGCAACCAGGGGGTAAAAGAATTTGAATTCAATTTTTAAAAAACCACTTTGGGGCTTCCCATTTTACATGGCTGGCTGGCTAACTTAGTTATTTGTCTTCCTTTTCATTGCAGTCTGATACCCCAACAGTGAGACTTACCAGTCAATAAACCAGCACTTTTGCATTCTCTCTCTCTCCCAACTGCTCCCTTCAAAATAGCTTTATATTGCCTCACTCTTAATGGAGGGAGATCCAAGGATCCCTGAACATTAGGAAAAAAACCTCTCAATAAAAGAAATCACAGAAAAAGGCAGGAAGAAACAGACAACAAAGAAGAAAGTACATGAAAAAAGAAAAAATGAGTATCCTCAGAGATCATAGATTTGTTATTGAGGAAATAATAGGATGCTATGAGAAAAAGAATTCCCAGAACAAGAAGTTCTTCAAAGTTAAAAATTGAAACTTAAAAGTGCAATGGTGGAAGGATTAGAAACTAAATCTTATAGAAAGTAGAATGAAGGAGCATGTGGGTGGCTCAGTCATTAGGCATCTGCCCTCAACTTAGGTCATGATCCCAGCGTCCTGGGATCCAGCCCCATGTTGGGCTACCTGGTCAGTGGGGAGCCTGTTTCTCCCTCTTCAGCCCCCTGTGCTTGTGTTTCCTTTCTTGCTATCTTTCTGTCATAAATGAATAAAATCTTAAAAAAAAAAAAAGAAAGTAGAATGAAAAGAGGATCACAGAAGTCTAAAAGAAAAAACAAAATGGAGGAAAGGAAATTAAAACACAGATCATATATGAATATTAAATACCCATGAAGTATCGAGAAAATTAAAAAAAAATCTGAAATCTGGTGAGAAGTAGTTCACATCCTGAAACTGCAAGGGACACCTGGGTGGCTCAGTTAAGTGTCCGACTCTTGATTTCAGCTCAGGTCATGATCTCAGGGTTGTGAGACTGAGCCCTACATCGGGGTCCCCACTCAGTGTGGAGTCTGCTGGAGATTCTCTTCCTCTTCCACTCCCTCCATGCATGCTCTCTTTCTAAAATAAATAAATAAATCTTAAAAAAAAAAACCCTGCAAAATACTAAATATAAAGGATTCTTTAAAGCTTGCAAAAGGGGAACTAGAACAAGTTCTTTACAAAAGAAAAGGAATCAGAATGGCATCAGATTTCTCTGCAATACTGGGAGCTGGGAAATGGTGGCATACCACCTTTAAAAGCAAGTGAAAATAATTTCTAGCCTAGAATTCTATACCTAGCCCATCTATCTTTCATGTTTGAGGATAGGATAAAGGCATTTTCAAATATGTAAAGACTCAACAAATTTACCCCAGTGCATTTTTTTTAAAAAAGATTTTACCCATTTATTTGTCAGAGAGAGTGAGAGAGAGAGAACGAGCACAAGCAGGGGGAGCAGCAAGCAGAAGGAGATGTGGGACTCCATCCCAGGACTCAGGGATTATGACCCGAGCCAAAGGCAGACCCAGCACCCTGCCCCAATGCACTTTTTATAGTAAATAACATAATATACTCGAACAAAATGAGGTAAAGAGAGAAAGAGGAAGACACAGGGTCCAGAAATGGGGTACAAGACCGAAGAGTGATGAAGGCAGTTTTACACCAGGGCTAGAATGTAACCAAAGTGTACTGGAGAACAGAAGGAAGATTCTCGGTTTTAAAAATGAACAAACTGATGGCTGTCTGATATGTAGGAACATGTAGAAAAAATACTCTTAGCTTTTAAAGCCTTTCAAATAAAATTAGCTGCAGGTAATAGGAAGTTCAGGCAAATGAAAAAAATCGAGGTGCAGGGCGCCTGGGCGGCTCAGTGGATTAAGGCTCTGCCTTTGGCTCAGGTCATGGTCTCAGGGTCCTGGGATCCAGCCCCACATCGGGCTCTCTGCTCAGCAGGAAGCCTGCTTCCCCCCCCCTCTCTGCCTGCCTCTCTGCCTACTTGTGATTTCTGTCTGTCAAATAAATAAATAAAATCTTAAAAAAAAATCGAGCTTATTAGCTAGATGAAAAACAACAATTGTGCTAGAAAGCAAAACAAATCACAGAACACCTTTTGGCTCAAACGTAAACAATACCGAATAGTTAAAATAATGTTAGTACCAACTATTGAGTTAACAAAAATTATAAGGGACCTATATTAGAAGGATGGATGCAAGAATGGTAGGGAAAGAAAACTAAAACCTCATGTATGTGACATGAGGTTTACAGGTAATGTTTATTGTTCAATCTAAAAAAAGCAGCTTAAGCATATAATTTGGAAATAAGTAGTTAAGTGCTAGAAGAAAAAAAACTGTTTCCTTATTATAAACTTGGTTAGAGGGAGGGTTGAAGGGAGTGTATGGGTGACTACAGAACAGGGATGTGAACCACTACTTTTTGAAATTAGTGTCTTAGTATTATTTGATGTTTAAATTAAAGTATTACTCTAACAATAAAAGTCCCTGAATTAGCCAAACCAAATATGTCAGCAGCCCAGAAAGTTTAAATCCCTGTAGTGGAAAAATCCAACTGATTTGGGAATCAGACGCCTGGGTCCCTCTTTAGTTTTGCTTGTTTACAGGTCAGTGTATCCTTGATCAAGTTATTTAACTGCTGAACCTGCATTTCCTCATCTGCAAAAGGAGGTTATAATCTCTCTGACATCTATGAGTGCTCTGTGAGCTACAAAATAAATGTATAGTGTTAACCACTATCTGGTGTCCCACTGTTAAAGATACCCAGGGTCAGACTGGGCTGTGTGAAGCTCAGGCTTGTACTCGGAAAGATATTTTAACATCTGCATTGCATAGGACAGGACCACAGAGGGCCCAAAGGGGCCAGGACTGTGGGCACTAGCAATGTAGCGCCTGTATCCTGCAACCACTGCCTTACTGGGATGAAATTCAGCTCAAGGGTCACACTGAAAAGAGCAGGCCAGCCTCCAACAGTGCAATGCATTTTGTGTCAAAGCTCCCAGGTTAATTATAAAGAATCTGAGTCCTTTAAGGACTTTTCCTTACATCATCATCTTAGCTTAGGTAAGGCAAGTGCCTGAAACAGAATCGAAGTATGTATGGAAGAACTCCGTGAGCACCAATCTTACAAGTCAGCCTGCTAACTACAGAAAGACAGAATCACAGAAAAGAACTGGAAGGTCATGAATCCACCTTCCACCTGAGGTTTCAGTCTCCTTTACAACCCGCCCTCCTCCCGCGGCTTCCAGACTCTCTCCCGGATCCCGCTGGAGCTGGGGGCGCACCGCGCCCCTTTCGGTCAGGCCATGCTGACCAGCAACCCCAGGAGACTCTGGTCCTAACTCTTTTGGCTGAGCTGGAATTGGCCTCTTTGTAGCCCCCACCCTTCTTGCTGGTAAAAGCCCTCAGGGCTAAAGAGAACAAGTCTCCACTCTTCCATCTTTGGGATCTTTAGGGACAGGTCCGTCACCCCACTCTTCAGCCCTCCCCTCCCCACCGCACTAACGGTAGAGGACGGCGTGTTCTCTTCCCTTCTCAGCGGCAGATGAAGAGAATGGGGGCTTTATCCGGTGCCCGGCGGGCCCCGTGAACCGACCACCCTGAAAGGGCAGGATGGCAGCGCTCACCGCACCTGCCGCGTGTTCAGTCCCCAATTCCCCACCCAGCGACCACGAAGTGCCGCACGACCTCGGGCGGGGAATAAAGCCCGAGCTCTCCTGCCGGGCCAGGCCGCTCGGCGCGCCGGGGGAACTGCCCTTCCCTCCCCGCAGAGGCACGACTGCAAGTTCGGGCGCCAGCGCCGCACGGGTCCCCGGGAACCCAGTCTCCCGCGCCCCCGCGCCCCCGCGGCGCCGGCTCACCGCGACCCAGCGCCTCTCGGAGGAGCGGGGGCGGCGGGGACTCACAAGGACTCCAGGTGCTTGAGCTGCTGCAGCTGCTGCGCGTCGTGCCGCCGCCGCTTCTGCTCCCGGCGCCGCTGCAGCTCCTGCTCGGCCGGCTCCCGCGGCCGCCGCACGCCCCCGGCCCCGGCATCGTCGCGCCCCGGCCGGGACGACATCGCGGCCCGCGCGGCTGAGGTGGCCCGGCGGCGCACCTCAGGCGGCTGAGGCGGCGAAGACGGCACTTCCTCCACGCCGCGACCGGCTGGCCCCGCAGCGCCCCCTCTCGCCGCCCGCCCGGGTAGGGCCCACTGTCCCCGCCGAGGCCTCGTGGTCCCCGCCTCCCGTCAGGCCTCCCCGCCGCCTCCCGTGTAGGGGCCCCAAGTCCGCGCTGGGAGCTCCGGGGCACCGCCGCTAGGCCGACCGGGGTCGGAGCGCGCCCCCTGGCGGCGGCCGCGAGCGGGGCGGTGGAGGCCTGCGGGACAGCCAGGGAGCCGCGCCCCCTCGCGCGCGTCCCTCCCCTGGGAGGACCCGGGGACCCGAACCGGGAGGCTTTGCAGCCCCCCTGGCTGGATACTGGCTGCTGCTACTTGGTGCTGGGATTCACCCAGCTTTGAAAACAAGACACCTCAGAGAAATTCCCTGATTTTCCAGAGCTTGGTTAAGACAGCTTAACCAAGGTTTGGGTGCTGCACGGAAGGCTAAAGACACTGAGCGCTTTTTATGTTGCTCGTCATTGAGCTGAGCCAGTAAGAAAAATTGATTTAGGGGCGCCTGGGTGGCTCAGTGGGTTAAAGTCTCTGCCTTCGGCTCAGGTCATGATCCCAGGGTTTTGGGATCCCCGCATTGGGATCGAGCCCCGCATAGGGCTCTCTGCTCAGCAGGGAGCCGGCTTCCCTTCCTCTCTCTCTCTCTCTCTCTGCCTGTGTCTCTGCCTACTTGTGATCTTTATCTCTCTGTGTCAAATAAATAAATAAATAATCTTAAAAAGAAAAAAGAAAAGTTGATTTAATCTTTAAAAACTTACTAAGTGCTGTTATTACCCGTATGTATTACCCTTCTTTTATAGATAAGGAGGCCGAGAGAGTTAAATAACATGCCCAAGGATGCAGCAGTAGAAGTCATGGAGCCAAGGCTGCGAATTATTAAAGTGCTTAACTAGGTTGTATTTTGTAAATGCATCTGATCTGTGAAGTTCCGCTCACTATTTAGCTTTAACATAATGGAAGAAACCACAAAGGAAGTAAAAGTAACAGGATAGGGAATATTCCCCTCAAATGTGGCGGTTCAATATGGTTAATACTTAAGGTATATAAGGAGTTCCTTCGTATTTATTAGAGAAAATCCAAATGAAGGAATGCACAAGGGCTATGAACAGAAACACAGTATTACACTGATATGTCCTAGAGCTTGGGAATCAGGTTCTCCCCCAGGAGTTAAGAACTGGTGCATAAAGCATCTAGTAGATGATGCAAGTTACTTGAACCAGTCAGCGCCCCATAAATACCCTGGCTGTGAGGTTTAAATCTGGTTTTCAGGGTCTCCTAGAGAGGTTTGATGAACTACCTGATTCCATAAAAACTAGTTTTGTTTAACCAGATAGAATGGATTCTGTTGTCTGTGACTAAAGAACTCTGTCAGAGACAATGATTACAAAGTTACTTTTTTTTAAAGGATTTATTTATTTTACAGAGAGAGAGATCACAAGCAGACAGGGTTGCAGGCAGAGAGAGAGGGAGAAGCAGGCTCTCCACTGAGTGGGGAGCCTGATGTGGGGCTCGATCCTAGGACCCCAGGATCATGACCTGAGCAGAAGGCAGCCGCCTAACTGACTGAGCCACCCAGGTGCCCCAGTTTTGTTTTGTTTTGTTTTTTTTTTTAAAGATTTTTATTTATTTGAAAGCAAGAGAGACAGAGCATGGCGGGGGGTGGGGGTTTGTAGGACCAGAGTGGGAGGGAGAAGCAGAAGCAGACTCCCGGCTCATGCGGCACTCCATCCGAAAACCCTGGGATCGTGACCTGAGCCAAAATCAAGTCGGTTGCCTAATAACTGAGCCACCTAGCTGCCCCACAAAGTTAGTGTTTAAAATCAACCTGGATGTCCTGATACTAAAGGAATATAATGGTAGTATAATTCATTATTTAGAAACATAAGGTTTTCTTCTTACACTTTAGAACCTCTTACAGTTCTCACACATGAGAAGTGAAGATACTCAATAATTCAGTCTGTGAATGGTGAAGTTCTTGGTCCCAGTTTGTGTGCAAGTCCTTGCTACTGGTGCGATTCCCCATATCTGAGCACTTCTCGTCTATGTTTGAGGTGAGCTTTCCTGGGTCCTGATAGTCTCAGGGCCCATGGAGTCTCCTGAGCAAGAACCCACTCACTAATGGTCATAGGCCTCAGGCACCCAAGCTTGGCCAGCCGCCAAAGCCACCCCAGGAGGGAAGGAAGCATTCCAGTCATTTGGTTGGTGTGAGCCCCTCAGATTTATATCTGGTATGCACTAGGGAGTCGTCTGAACTCTGGGGAGAGCTAGAAGATGTAAGGTTATAAAGGTGAAGGAAAGAGCTAATAAAAATTTCAAAAACATTCATTTATTCATTCATCAAACACTGAATTAGACCTGCTGTGTGAATGTGTTCTGAGTCCGGAGGAGAAACCTGTCTCTGCCTTTGTGGAGCTTACATAAGAAAAATGTTGAACTGACAATTACCCATATCTTAAAATTTCAGTTATGATCAGTTCTATGAAGATGTATAGGGGTACCTATTCTAGTGGTGGTCCACGAAGCCTTCCATGGGGAAGGGAAATATCAGCAGAGTAGAAGCTGGTGGAGCAAAGGAAAGTATCCCAAGAGGCAGAGTATCCTGTGGAAAAGGGGCTTCATGTACAGAAGAAATTGAAAGAGAAGGCAAGTGTGGGGCTGAAGCCTGGGGAGAAAGGAGAAGAGTGATGAAATGAGGCCGGAGAGACAGACCGGACAAGACTGTCCAGGATCTTGTAGACCTTGTGAAGTACTGGATTTTATAGTAAGTGTGGTAGGAAGGTAGGAAGGTAATGAAGATTTTATAGTAAGTGTGGTAGGAAGGTAATGAAGAAAGCAAAGTTGGAAGAAGTCATTATCATACTGGAATTGTAAACATTTCTCTAGCTACCACATGGTCCCATACTATGTGATGCTACACATATTCTGCAGCTATTGATGTGCCAAATATGCCTTTATGACATTCATTCATTCTAGAAATATTGATTTGGACTGATAAATGCTATGTTCATGTTGTTCAAATTTGGGGTCAAGAGTCATTAGAGGACTGTGAAATCCACTCAGGGAATTGGCAGCAATATCATAAACTATTAAGTAAAAAAGGAAAGAACAGAAAGTAGAAGTATTAGAGGGCATCACATGCAAATAAGTTAGGTATTATTTTTCCAAATTAATTTTGCCCTATGAGTTAAAGCAAAAAATAATTGAGATCTGTGTTGTGAATATTTAACGATCCAACATGCTTCATATAGTGTCTGGCACATATATTTATTGTGTGCCTGGCTCAAAAAATAATTGGCCTTGATAACAGGTATAGTCCTTTATGTCTCTAATATGCATGAAGTTTAAAAAAAATAACATCTGGTGGGTGGGCAGTTCTGCTGCTTTGGGGTTACTTGATGGATCTCTGTGGTTAGTTAACTGTGCTGGGTTTGGTTGGTCTAAAATGACCTTACTCATGTGTCTAGAGGAGCAGTGGAGATGACCTGACATGTTTCTCCTCATTCAGCAAGCTTCTACAGGTCAGTCACATAGAAGTGGTTGCAGTATCTTCAAGAGAAGCATGTGAGGGAGAAGCACTTTTCGAAGCTTCGCTTGCATTATATTTACTAATGTTTCATTGACCAAAGCAAGTTAAATTTAGATTTAAGGGTAGAGCTACAAAGTCACATTGTAAAGAAATGGCCATACAAAGATGGAAAAAAACTACAGCTATTTTTTTTTAAACTCTTGCACTCATTAGGAGGAATTATGGCACCCAGCTGTTGAAAATAAGCTTTCTATGACAGAAATGATAAGTTACCTGAGGTTTCCGAGCAAATAGTATTCTTCACACTGTCCCATGCTGTCTGTGAAATAGAATGAATTTGGATATCAACCCTTCCTCCTGTCACAAGGAATATGTTTTTTCGTTGCTGTTGCTTTTGTTGTTGTTGTTGTTTTAATTAAGTAGTTACATATCTTGGTGGGTTGAAATATAAATTGGTAGTTCAAGATAATTTTTTCTTTTTCCTTCTCTCTCTTTTTTTTTAGTAGGTTCCATGTCCAGCATCAAGGCCAATATAGGACTTGAACTCATTCATTATACTCAGATCAAGACCTGAGCTTAGATACAGTCAGCTGCTTAACCAACTGAGCCACCCAGGCACCCTCAAGGTAATTTTCACGTAATTATTTTCATACAGTATTTTATTCTATTATTTAAAAAAAAAACTTTTATTCTAGGGGCACCCCTTCGGTTTTGAAAACAAAGATGAAAAAAAAGTTTAAAAAATTGGCATTATTATGTTCAATTGTAAAATTGAACATTTACATACCTATATGCCAGATAATCCACTCTAAGGTCTATGCTAAAGAGAGAGCTGCACAAGGGATCAGGAGCCATGTATAAAAACCTCAGAGCAGCACTGTTTCTCCTAGGAAGAGATAAGCACCTGGAAATTGTTCAAATGCTCCACCGCCTCCACGATGTTGGTCTTCCGCCCCTGTCTTCCTCTTCAAGGTGAATGTGTCCTGGGCCAGCACCACCCAGCCACCGGGGCTCTCACACTGGCTCTCGCTCCGGCCGCCCGGCCACCGCCGCCTGTTCCATACCTTGGCCTCCTTGGCCTCGGATCGGGAAAAGTAACTGCTTCTGGAGGATGGGAAGCGCTAGCCCGCGGAGGAGCGCGGACGCTCCTCCCCTCCTGAGAAAGCCTCGCCCCCGCACGAAGCCCCACCCCGCGCGCTGACACGGGGGACGAGGAAGGCGTGGGGGGGCGTGGTCTGCGTCCACAGCGGAGGCGGGAATCTGGTCCTCCTCGGACCCTATCTCTGAGGAACTGTCCAAGGACGGAAAGGGAATGGTATTAATTATCTCTGTGCTAATGAGGACCAGGGAATGGTTCACTCCAGCCCTCTCCTTTAGAAATCTGATCCCGACCGGACCCAAG